CAACTTAACTTGTTTATGACTGTTTATGAACAGTGAGGACGCATCTCATAGAACAATAGCTGTGGAAATCATAAACAAATGTAAATGTTGCGGAAATCAAGCATGGCGATAATGATTTTGAGCGAGGCAGAGTCTGGCAAGCGTCTCAGAGCAGCATTGCACTGCAAACCTCTTAAATCACGAGGTAAACTTTCAATTTACACAATACATAATCAGTTCCTACAACCATAATAAAAAAGCAGTTTTTCTGGCGAAACTCTCACCAGGCTAGCAATAGTTTCTCACGGTCACCAAACCAGAGACACAAACAATAATACAAAGTGTATAAATACCATAACAAGCACAGTTTCTTACCTTTGAAATTGACGAGACACAATTTTGTCCATATAAGCGTTGCGCAAATAAAGATACAATTCCGGGATACAATATCCTCACAAAAATGACTGATTTCCACCGAGACGAGAACTGCGTAAGCGTCATCAAAACTCGGATTAAACTCGGGTAATTTCGGGAAAAGTCAGATTTTGAAAGAAAAATGTTAAAAATCAAGAAAAACACAGTGAAACTTTGAAGAATCGAAAAAATAACTTGATGTGCACAATAGCACCATCAATTTCTGTCTCTGTACCAACTCTGAACTGAATTGGATCACACATGTGTGAGAAAAACCTGGTAACATGAAAATGTGCACACACATTTGCACAGACACGACCCAAATTAAATCCCCTGCCTGGATCACAGATCCGGCGGGGGCTAAAAATGTATTTTACATTAGCACAATGAATATTTTTTGTAACTCATTTTTGTTATGGTCATGAAACATACCAAGTAATTGTGTTTTGACAACAAATAATACACCATGTATGGCATCTAGTGTTTTTTAATCACTGATCTTTACTTTTAATTACTTTTTCAAAACTTTATCTCAAAAACTTGACCTATTTTTAAAACTAATTATTTCAGAGTCTCTATGGTATATTTATTTTGAACAATGTATGCCATATAAAGAATATTTAAATTTTTTTAAGTGAAAAAACATGCATTGTATTGGACATTTTCAATCTCACTTATTCAAGAAAGCACTATAACCGTACCTGATGATCTAACTGCAGCAGTGTTGTGTGTTTCATTACACACATCACCTTCTATTTCAACATTCAACTCTGTATCTGTGTTTTTAGTTTCATGTACATGATCTTCCTCATTTATGTCATCTTTTTGTCTTTCTTGAATGCCTTCATCTGTTGCTGCCACGGTGACACCATTAACCTCATCTTTGGTTACCATATCAACAGAAGAAACATCATTAGTACATTTGTCATGGCATCGAACTTCACCCTTTTTTTTCTCCTCAATGTGTTCTTCACTATTGGATTTCTTTCCATCTACTGTAACATCCTCTTTCTCCGCATTGACTGTGACTATGTCACTATTATCATTCTGCTCATCATTCTCTTCCACTGCAGCTAGAGGTTCTGCACTGACATCTGCAGCATCAGTCTTGTCGTCAGAAGCTACAGTTGACTTGCCTTCAACAAAGACAGTCACCTCATGACAACCATCACTGGTCACAATGATCTTCTCAATATCTTCATCACTGTGTTGTAAAACAATTAGAAATCTTGTAGCAACTTTTGACATTTTCCTAAATATTTTGATTTCAAGCTTG